AGGCCGTCATATAACGTTCCATCTTGAGCACACAATAACATTTTATCTCAGAATGAAATAAAGTTTCTCTGCGTATACCATGAACCATGCGACCGAAAACAGGACAAATGAGCGAGCTGGTCTGTATTCAATAGGTCTCCTGTGCACCCTCTGCGCACTGTGTGGGGATGTAGCTCAGTGGTAGAGCGCATGCTTCGCATGTATGAGGTCCCGGGTTCAATCCCCGGCATCTCCACAGTCTTTTTGGATTAACTCCTTTATTTTCTGAGATACTGTGTGATGGATCGGTTCGGGAACCGAAGGAGCCAAGACCGGCCAATTGGTAGCAGGAAATGTGCTTTAATAACTACTAACAACATATGTTTTATGCAGCTTGTCCTCACAGACGAACTTTTGGTGTTTTTTTTTTTTTACACAATAATATTGTCATAACGTATATATTCATGTTACAATTGATCGCCTTTGTCCTTCATGGCGATGTTTGAAAATGAAGTTGTCGGATGGCAAAAAAAGCTTTGGTTCCACTGGGGCTCGAACCCAGGACCTTCTGCGTGTAAAGCAGACGTGATAACCGCTACACTATGGAACCATTTGCCCTCAGTGTCTATGACGTCAGTATAAATGAGCGGACACAGAAAAGCAGAATTCTATTGGTTTTGTTGTAAAAACGAGTAAAGAAGTAAAGACCCTCAACCAGATTAATCGAAGGGTTTATGTGTTTGTCAACAATTATCTCAATGTGTTTATTTATGTATTTACGAACTTGCACATCGTCATATAAATGTATAAATTAATACATGAAATAATGAATATTAGATTGGAATCTATGAAAAAATACTTAATTACATTTGTTATTAAATACTGATTATTGATTTGTTCTAATTTGTATATTTTATTTCTGCATTTATTTTAACATCGTTTATATATCAGTGAATTGATTTATCAAATGATTTATAAATTCATGTATAACACACAGAAATATTGGATTTCTTAAAAAAAAAAAAAAAAAACATGAATAAATGCATGATGGCAATTTAGTTGGGTCAGGTGTTGGATGTGGGCGGAGCATCAAAGAACAAGATGAGAAACGCGCCTGCAGCTGCTAAACAACCCACCAGCAGCTCAGAGAGGACAGGAAGCATCGGTCTGCAGGTACATTTAATCATCATCATAATAATAATCATCATAATTATTCTCTTCACATGTACTGCATATTATAGTGTTTTATTAACTTGACAGCGTATGCTCAGCACATTGTATCGTCTAGTTCTACTCTATTCTAGACATTTCTGTATTCTATTTTGTTTATTTATTGACTGTGCTGCTTCAACAATAGAGTTTGTCAGCTGGTTATAATTGTTGATATAACGGTTAAGAAATAATTGAATTTAATTACTTCAAAGCCCCAAATAGTCAAATCTGAGAACATCAAACCCCAATCAAAAGCAAAATCAGCCTTTAAAGCTCACGTTGTGTGTATATTGTGTTCAACTGTTGAATTTAATCTTTAAAATGACAGTTTCCTCATAAATCAGTAAACACACTGACTGATTAGGAATGCAACGTTCCTCTAATACACCGAAACGCATCTAAATTCAAACTGTAAATCGGTGTTGTTAAGACTTTTATCTGGTTTTTATTTCCTCAAAGCAAGACAGATAAACCAGAAACGTCTGACAGGCAAATAAAAGTAAATATCTGCTCCTGTTTTGCTTTTACAAGTGATAAAAATGGCCTTAAAGAAGATTTAATGCGTCGTGTTACATTAATTTAAAGTGGAAAAGCCTTCAATGAGGCTTTATTTTGTCTGTAAAAACTCTGCAGGGTCGTAATGATGATGATGAAATTTCAAACATGACAGCAAACACAAAAATTAAGGTTTCTAACTTGAAATAAGGCAAGATTTTAAATTTAAACAGCTTTAATTGAAGCCTGTTTTCCTTAAATTTTTCATATCCACCCAAAAAAAAGGCACAAAAAATGTAATATTTCATTAACACGTCTTCCAGTGTGTGACATGGTGCAAAATGTGACATGTTGAACTTTAACTACGACACATTCAAATAATATTCTTTCATCTGATGAAACAAACACACCTCGATGTTTCCTGTCACCGAAACAAGGAAGTGACCTTCTCTACTTTCTCATTTTACGCCTTTGAGTTTTCTTTGTGCTCGCTGGACGCTAACTGTCCTTCATTTACAAGTCAAATACGAGCGAGGTAAACAAATGAGGTGTTGCTCCTGCAGAGGAACACAAACCGAACCCTGTTAACAGATTTATTCAACACAAGCAAAGCCACAGAATGTGTCTTTCACAGGAGCTGACACCACGAGCAGCCTTTCAGAAGAATTCTTGCACGTAAATCATCGACAAGAGAAGTTTTACAAAAAGGCAAATGATCTGGCTGCAGTGTTTCATATCAAACAGGAAGAGTTTGCATATTTGCTCAAAACTTCCTCGATTCTTGATGATAACAAAATATGTTGAAAAGAGGTTTTTCCCTTTAAAATACCGATAAATATCTTTAGTATAATGATGTTTTTGCTGAAATAAATACCGAAAAATAGTGCATTTTTACAGTAGAGTATTGTAAAAGAGAGTATTATTGTTAAAAATGCAAATTACTTACGTGGAAGTTGTTTATAGTTTTAGCCTGTTTTCATTACAGTTAACATTTAAATAAATAAATTTTTTCCCCCCACTGATTTTACGAGTAGTAAGGAGATTTTTCACAAATCTGCCAACTAAATCGTGACCAAACAACTTCTTCACCAATATGTTTGTAAAGGTGTAATAACATGCCTTAAAATGTTGAAGTTCAACTCTGGTGGGAAACCCTGAAAAACACCTGCTCAAGTTAGGGTACCGATAAATGATTGACGAAAAATCCATTTTACAATTTCTATGTGATTAATATTTTAAAAAACAATATTATCAGACCTGGTGAAACTCAAAGATGAACTTAAAACACTGTCTGAATCAGTTCAGTGTTTGTAAAAATGATATTTCTTCTAAACTGGTATCTTCATCCGCTGACTGAGAAAACATGAAATCAGCTGTTGGTAAATGTCTGAACGAATCATTAACAAATGAAATACGTGACTTTTTCTTCTTTTTGTGTCCATTATGTAGGATTTATGATCTTTTTTTCTTTTACACAGCTCTATGTGGGAAACCTGTTTAATCACAGATGCTACATGATTCAGTTTAAATGTTGTTTCTCAGGCTCCAGATCATTAATTACAACAAAACCATGTT